GTAAAGGACTGGAATCTGAATTCTTAGTTAGCTTCTCCTAGCATTAGTTTTACCAGCCATTGTCAACAAGTGGTCTCAAGTTCCACTCTATGGAACTCCATGTAAGCACAGGGGAAAATAAGATGCATTTCAGACATGCAAACCATATACAGACTTTTGGAAAGACTCCTATCTCAACACGATTACTTCTCCTACGCCATTCCCAAATCCTGTTGTGAATTAACTTTTCAATAATGAGTACAAAATGGAGTGAATCTTGTTTTAACCCTTTATATCTAATATTCTTAATATTTTTATATTACTTGTAAAGTACCACAACCCACCCAATTTTGTATACTTACAGTAAGATTTCCAAACAGGAGGTCTATATTCATCCGTATCTGAAAGAAAAAAAAACATTAAATTAACATTACTGAATATTTATCCTTTTAAATGAGATATTTTAATCATTAATTCACTTAACATATATTTGTTGAGGTCTATTTGTCCTAGGCATTATACTAGGCCCTAAAGGGCATTCAAAAATATATTAGTCTTGGTCCTCACTTTTTTGGAATACAGTTTTACAAAGATGTTCAAAGAAAGTCACTTGTGTTTTTCAACTGCTTATCACATGAAAACATCACAGTTAATTTTTACCACCGGCTCTCATTTCTTACAGTCACTGAGGTACTAGTCAAGTCTTTGTTTCAGATCCCTGAAATCACTGGACTTTTTATTTTTCAGTCAAATTGACTAGATAACAATTTTAGTCCCCAGAAATGTATTTTATATATTTTCTACCATTACATTTGGGGAATTCCAGTGTAACTGGTGTCATCAATATCAGGAGAGAAGAGCAGCAAGGCACAGAATTTAGTCCCCATACATTTTGGACAATCAAAATCAGGAAGTAAGAAGCACTTCAGTGGAGGAGAGTGTATCTAGGGAAACACAAAGAACATGAGGTGAACATCTGCTCTTCAAGTCTATTTCCCACACTCTGCTTAAGTCGGGATATAGGAGACTGTGTGAAGAGGCAGTGCAAAGAGATGGAAAAACAAACATGTAAGGGAGATGGGGGAACTGGAGAAAGGAGAACAGCCAGTGTGGCATGCCTATTCATCAGGAAAGCATAGCTGAGGTAAAATTTTGCCAGCCAAATGCTCTGCTTGCAAGGCTATGTACCCACACCAGCAGACACAGCATTTTGATGCAGGCAGGTGTGGCCAGCCACATCACCTGGCTCTGCCGACATCCAACGTGAATCCATTCGGGAATTTGATTCTAAAAATGTTGGTCTCCAAGGAGGCAAGAAAAGTCCTGGAAAGTTAACCAAGAAAGGTGAATCTAGCATATGTAACCCAAGTAAAAAGGGTCATAGATTCAAAACATTCAACTCTCAACCTTTAAAGGGCAATCACACTTCTTTTATGACTTATTATCATAAACCACTCAAGCACTTGAAGTCAGCGGGCTACAAGAAGACCACTAATGATGGGCATAAAAACATAAAAGGAAAAACCAAAGACACAAGAAAAGTATTACTCCAAAGGCCTGATGGATCACATGAACCGCAGCCTCCACCAGCCTGAGCCCAGAAGAACTAGCTGGTACCTGGCTACCACCACTGATCACTCTCACAGAGATCACAATAGAGGGTCCAGCAGTAGAGCTGGAGAAAAAACATAGAACAGAATTCAAATTCACAAAAAAAGACCAGACTTACTGGTCTGAAAGAGACTGGAGGTACCCTCAAGGCTATGGCCCCTGAATACCCTGCTAACTCAGAGATGAAGCCACTCAGAAGTCCACCCTTCAGCCAAAGATTGGACAGGCCTATAAAACAAACAATAATACATGTGAGGAAGGTGCTTCTTAGTTCATTCAAGTATACGAGACCAAATGGGCAACACCTGCCCAAAAGCAAAGACGAGAAGACAGGAAGGGATAGGAAACTTGGAGGAATGGTCATGGGGAACCCGGAGTGTAAAAGGAAAGTGGGCAGTGTTGACACATTGCAGGGACTGCAACCAATGTCACAAAACGATCTGTGTATAAATTTTTGAATGAGAAACTAATTTGTGTTGTAAACTTTCACCTAAAACAGTAAAATTTTTAAAAAGTAAAAGGGAAATTCTAAGGTAACAGGGAAATTTCTTGGCACCCAGTAGAAGCATTCAAATGCGTATGCTTATTGAACAAATAAAAAATTACATGAAGAATGAATGAATTAACACAGCAAATATATGAATGAGTAATTATTTAGGAAAACTGCCAGGAGAGGTGAACTCACCTACTGATGATATAAAGTTGAGATGAAACATGTTCTTAATGCAGTCATTGTTTTGGGTCTACATATTTGCTTTGCTAGGGTGTGTGTGTGTTTAGGAGGTTAATTACATTGAGGTTTATGTTAATAAGTAAATCATAATTAATTCAATGGAATTTTTCCAATACTAGGGAAAATTTTGCCTATAAACAAGTCATTTTGTGGTGATATCAGCCTGACTTCCAGGGAAGGGAAGCAGGCTGGAGATTGAGTTCAA